ATGCCGAGGGAGGCTGCGGAGAAATGGAATTTGATCGGGTGCTTGAGGAGTGAGCTGTCGTCCTTGCTAAAAAGGGGCTGGAGTTAGGGATGCGAGACCACGCTGCTTAGCGTCTGGGCGATTGGGTTTATAATTTTCAGCTTCTTTTAATTTAGAGGGGTTTTCTTTCTTAATATTATGTCTTTATAAACGTTACGGTCAGACATTGGGAACGATGGCTCAAGAACTGCAGTTGGATTTTCTGTCTGAGATGATAAGGCATGGATGGTGCTCAGAAGTTCATCTCTGGTGGCTTCTTGGTGGCTATTCAAAACGGAGACCGTCGTTCCCTTACAAAAACTGACACAACGTGCGTGGGCTGCTCGGTGCTTGTGTGTGTTTTCCAGTATGATGGGGGGTGGGCTCATTAGAATGATGATGTTATTAACGGTTTTCCTCAACTTGCTAATTCCTGTCGTCCTAGTATTACAATAATAGTGAAATTAAATTAGCATATCGTCTAGCATACTGAAAAACTGTGAATACATTACAGTAATACAAGGCAACAGATAATTGCTAGCTTAATAAGAATTCATTTTCGGCAAAGATTACTTGACCTTTTTCTTCTTCCAGTCGCTCGGGATAGAGTTCCTGGTTATTGGTTGTCTCCTCGTCTTCTGTAAACCCAGTCAGAAGTCCTTCTTGGTTATGTGAAAATGTCTCTACTTTAAATACTTCTAATTTTATGTCATTTGTCAGTGGGCTTGTCTTGTACCTGTATGTGCCCGTCCATGCGTTGACTTGTAGGACCTCGTTCCGTATGCAGTTGGCCTCTGATCCTTTGAAATGAAAGAGGTTTTATAACCCCCGTACTCGCTTAGTGTGAGCTATATTTATTTTTTTGTTATACAGAAATCCTGTGTGTCTTCTAAATTGAGGTTTTATTTCTTTGTTTTAGTAAAATAAAAGCGAACGTCAGCTGTTTTTATTGTATTTTCTAGAATAAGCGCTTCCCCTCGTATTTAATTTTTGATAGGCTCGGGGTTAAAGAGAATGATTTGAACTACAGATGTATTTTTCTGTTTATGTCTAATATTTTTCAGGCTTATTGAAGTGATGTACTTGCTAAGCCTCAATTTATATCCACTCATTGCCACTGTCATTTTTTCCCCCATCTTTTTTTCAGTTCCACCGTGGTTTTTAATTCGCCCTTCAAGCCTTTATGCCTACGAGAGCATGGATATTGAGTTTGAATGCGCCGTGTCTGGCAAGCCCGTTCCTACAGTGGAGTGGATCAAGAATGGAGAAGTGGTCATTCCCAGCGACTATTTTCAGATAGTGGTAATTACCTGGCAATTACTTATTAGAAATCTGTTTTCTATTAAGTTGTGAAATGTGTTCTGATGCTTGATCTGATGCTTGCCTTCATAAATATAGTGGTTTTCCCAAAGGAAACCAAATTTCTGCTGTCTCTGAATACAAATAAGGCACATTGCATTGAGATGTGTTAGGTCAAGCGCGTTGACGTTGTCTCCTGGCTTTAGTGCGAGCTGAGCCAGGGAGAAGTAACAGTGTCAGGTCATACTCTGGGTTGCTATTAATAATATTGTTTACTACATGTTAACGGCTTCCCTTACCGTTGTCCTTGGCAGACAAAAATCACAGGTCTCTTCTCCAAGGAGACCATACAGTGACACCGGGGGTTAAAAACAGCGAGGGTCACTTGACGTAATTACGCCTTTTCGAAGAGAGTTGCGGTGCACCCTGCCCAAAGTAACACCCCCACCCAGGACTCCAACGTTTTTTTTAGTTTAAATATCACTATAATAAGGGCTAAGAATTTCTGCTGTGTTTTCTGAAAGGGTCGGTTTAACTTGGCCTTCACAGAATCATAGAATCACAGAATCACAGAATGGCAGGGGTTGGAAGGGACCTCTGTGGGTCACCCAGTCCAACCCTCCTGCCAAAGCAGGGTCACCTACAGTAGGCTGTAGAGGACCTTGTCCAGG